TGGACTTTCTTTTTTTTGAAGATGTTTCCCTGAAGTTTCTTCAGTTTGGACTAAATGGAAGGATTTATACTCCTCGCAGTCATCCGGTTGTTAGCACTCTTTTGGGGAGTTGTTGGGGCTACTTTGAAGTTTATCTATCTATACCCTCAGGGTATAGTGCAAATGGGTGTGGAACCTTCTTGGAACTGCTGAAAGGAGTGTGTTGTAAGCAGGAGATAAATGATGTCCTATCCCTCCCACTCTGTTGAAAGAGGGCTGTTCAGTTTTAATGTGGATGGACTCTCTGACCCCTCTTTCAAATTGGTCATCTCTGTCCAGAATATGGAATTTGTGTCTTCGATTTTGACAGAATAACCTTTGTCTTTCAAGTGCAGATGGACTGCTAATTCTTGTCCTGATGGGTATGTCTTCCTATGTTGTGCCACGTGTTTCTGAAGTGGTTGTTTTGTTTCTGCCATGTACAGATCTGCACATATCTAACTGCATTGTACTGCGTATATCAAATTGCTCAGTTTGTGTCTGGGTGTTTTATCCCTGGGGTGGACAAGCTTTTGCCTTAGTGTATTTTGGAGGTTTAAAGTGTGAGTGTATATTGTTTTGGTTGAAAATCCCAAGCTTTTCAAATATTCCTGAAATTAACGGTGCAAGAGAATTGAAACATCTTCAAGGATAAACAAAAAAAGTCCAGTTTCCTTTTGAAAAAGCACCTCTGAAACAACCATGACCTGAATGACTGAGAATCTCAATAGACATTCTGGGGCCTGGCTTAAATTCTGCAGCCAGAGGTTGGTAATCCTTAATAGCAAGGTATCTGCTTATCACCACTCTCGAATCACATGGGGGCTCAGATGTTGTATTTACCAGAGAATACAGTGCTTCACTTACCAGCTCTGTCAGTCATTCAGTTACCAGCTCTGTCAGATCCACCACAAGACAGCGTGAGAGATCTTCATGCCCAAGGTGAGATCCAGGCTTTGAAGTCCAATGGAATATGGGCTATCTAGGAATATGCAGTGAGAAGGGGTAGGAATTTGAGAAAATTTAGACTAGTGCAGCAGAATGTTACATTCAGCTTGTATGAAATTAAGATATTATTACTGAACTATTTTGGGGCAAGCACATGGGAGATTAATTCTCCATTTGTGGATATTCTTAGTTAACACAGAAAGCTATTTGTGTATATAAGGCCATAATGTCCTCCAAACACTGTCAGTAATGTTTAAAATGTTATCTGTGGTGTAGTGCATAAACTTGGACTTCATGGCTTACAATTTAACTTATTTTTGAAGAGAGAAATTGAATGCTGACTTCTGTTTCATTTGCAAAGTGGTGGCCGGGGATAGCACAATTCAGAAAATATTTCCTAAATTGACTCCATCTGTTACACATGGATATAAAATTGCTTCTATCTAATTCTGGGTGGGATGAGGGCTTTGAAAGCCATTTGGCTTGTTTTGAAACTGGCTGTCTTGGTATTAAGCCACAGTCTTATTCCAGCAAAATGATAAGCTATTAGGGAAGGCCCATCACATTGCTGACATGGCTGTTGAGATTTCACAGTCTCTGAGGGTAACTGCATAGATTGTTTTCTATTCCCTTTACTGTAGATCAGATTGTAGTCCTAAGTGGCATTGCTCAACTAACAATATGTGCGAGGAGTCACACCTCAGTTTTAGATAAGAGAAGATGTGCTGTCTCTGCAAGCAGTACATCATGTCAAAAGCAGAGGTGAAGATATTTTTGTCAAAATGTTCTCAGCAATTGATACTGCTGCCCTATCAAAGGATAAACTGGACTACTGATGGTACTTCTGCTACAATTGGATTTATGGAGAGATTTGTGGCATTACTGAAGAAAAAATAGAATTTCTCAAAATTGGTATGTCACACTCAATAGCATTCCATTACACCTTTATGTACAATCACCTTGCTTCAACTTGACAGTGAAAATGTTAACTTTATAAAAGAGGAGTATTGGAACATACTGGAGGAACCGGATAGTTGCATGATGATCTGATATATAGTGTTGCTGTGATGTTTATTGACTGAGATGAGAACAGATGTTCCAGTACACGTACATACATATGTGTACACACACACACACACACACACACACACACACACGAGCTGAAAGATGAATTACCGATTTCCCCAGATAACAAAGTCAATCCATGCTGTCATTTCCGACTACTTTATGCAGCACACCAATCTGGGTTTCCTTCAGTTATATATATGATGTGTGTGTCTGTCTGTCTGTCTGTCTGTCTGTCTGTCTGTCTGTCTCACTGAAGGATATGTGGCAAGAGGAGCTAAAGAGTAGTAAATCGAGCTATTTCCCAGCACATTTAGCATATTCAACCACTCAGTATGCCAATGAATTTTTAGAGGAACTCCTAAAGATCTTGAGGAACATTTTCAAGATCTAAAGTCCATTTACTATTGTAGTTGATTCAAAAGCCATGTTCAGGCAATGTCTATCACAACAGGAGTGATATGGTTAACTGATAATCAACCTGAAAAAGCAGCTATGAGTTGCGACACTATCAGTGTAACCAGACACCCCAAAACAAACAAGACTACACATTAAGAGTCATTAAGAGGGTTTCAGTCATTTGATTTAAATACAATATAAAACTCTTCTTTCTGCTCAACTGCATTATATTTTTCTCGAATGATTTTGCCATTTGTGGCCCTAGTCTCTCTCTCTCTGTCTCTCTCTCTCTCTCTCCCTCCCTCCCTCTCTCTCTCTCTCTCTTTTTTTTTTTGCAATGTAACCCTCAACCAACTGTTCATAGGTCAGTGATGCCCCTGAAGTGGCCAACATTTGTATCCGTGTGCTAAGGAAAGAGGGAGCCATAGTTTCTAGCGTTTTTTTTTCTTTTCCCAAAGATTCCAATGAACAGGGCAAAGACATTGTGATATGAAAGAAATATATTGGGGTAGATTTTCTTTTTTCTTTTTCTTTTTCAAACATGGCTCATATCTTCCCAACGGCTTGTGCACCAGTTGTATCGTGTTTTATTTTGTGCTCAAAATCAGAAGTCACCTTAGTTTTTCTGTGGTTTGCTGATTTACACTTTTTCAAGAAAAGCCCTGGGAGGGGTACATGAATTCCATAGGCTATAGGAATGCCTGCCCATTTGGTAAGAGAAAAAGGGAAAGATTCTGAACACTTCTGACCCTGAGAAAGGAGAGGAAGAAAGAATGCAATGTGACTTGCATATTGATTTAGTGACCACAGCCATGGCCTAAGATTATTTGTTTGTTATTTATAGGATATATAAAGCTGCCCACCAACAATTTATGACTCTAGGCAGCATACTGAACTGAGTATTAAAAAAACCTCTTACATAGACCAGGCTTGGAGTAACAAACCCTTTCTTTCCTAAGAACTGTACAACTGAACATCATTAGCATGCTGATGATACTTGTCTCTGTGCCGACGATGATTTCATCCAGTTTCTTCATGTAGATGTTAAACAAAAATGGAGACACAAAAATGGAGAGAGAATAGAGCTCTGGGGCACCTCTCAAAGCAGGCACCCATCTTTTGACGCACCATACTGACTGCATCTAATCCTGCAGAAAGTGGGAGAACTATGGCAACACCATGCCACGTACTCTCAATCCCGAGTTGGTCTGGAATAATACCACAGTCAGTGTTTTTGAATGTCGCTGAAAAATCAACACCAGGACACTATCTTCTTCTCCTGAGCACAGTACAGGTCAGCACAAAGTGCAACCAAGATTACATTAGTGCTATTTCTCATTCTATAAAAGGGATGCAGATGGGAGAACGTTGTTAAATAAATCATACCCCTATGTTGTTCCTCCTGAATTAAAAAAAAGTTACAAACCTAAAACCTATGATAAATATCAAAGTTCCAATCTTTTTTTGTAAATTAGTGAACTCACAAAGTCACTATTGGTATGCATTTTGCTTTGCTCTGTGCTGCCAGCTAAGCTTTGGATTTTAAAAATTTTACAGCCTGAACAGAGAGAATAGGTACTATTTGTGCTATGTACGCTTCAAAAATAATTCAGAGGAACTATTTGGGCTCATGTCCTTGTTCAGTCATCCATGCAAGCTTGAAAAAAGATACCACGGAAGTAGATCATAATGCAACTCTTAAAGAAGCTACAACTTTCTTTCAGGCTTGTGTAGAAACCTAAGAAGAACAAACTGCATTAACAAATATGTTCAGCCTTTCCTTGAGATACTATTTATAATGATTTTCAAAATGTGTATGGCCCTATATATACTACCAGTATGTTTTTAGGACTACAAAGAGAATTAAATCTGTTGAACAGAATAATACACAAGATGGTTTCTGTGCTTACTTATGTAAAAGAAAGGTAACTTCTGAAAAGTATTTTAATCTCCTGAAATATGGCAGCTAATCACTTGATAAAACTGGGAATTGCATGATAGACTCATAATGGTTAAAAAAAGACATCTCCACAAATATCCAGCAGGCACCTACAGTGATGTTTTTTGGTGTTTGTTTATAAAAATCTGCATATGATGTGTAATTATGAGTTTTAATACTTTTAAAAAATGAATATTTAGCTGTGGTGGTGCAGTGGTTAGAATGCAGTATTGCAGGCTGATTCTGCTCACTGTCAGGAGTTCAATCCTGACCAGCTCAAGGTTGACTCAGCCTTCCATTCTTCCAAGATCTGTAAAATGAGAACCCAGATTGTTGGGGGCAATATGCTGACTTCGTAAACTGCTTAGAAAGGACTGTATAGCACTATGAAGTGATATATAAATCTAAGTGCTAATTGTTCAATTGTATTGCTTGTTATTATTTTAACTTCTGCTTGTTTTTAACTATGGACATTCTCCATTTTTTGTAATTTGTGTGTATAGATGGGGAGTTGTTTGGATAGCTATTTTTTTCCACAAATGTTACAGGACAACTGGAACCTTGATTGCATGAATAGACAAGTACAGCATAATTGTATTCTCATAATTTCAAAAATATGCTTATTCTGTAGTAATGAATCACCAGCACCAGCCACAGATGACACCAACTACATCTATATCTCAGCAGAACCACCCTCCCCCAAACCCTCAAGCTGCCTTATTGAACATGCCAAATGCATTGACTTCCCAGCAACAACAACAGCAGAAGCTGAGGCTTCAGAGAATCCAAATGGAGAGAGAGAGAATTCGCATGCGTCAGGAGGAACTCATGCGTCAGGTATTGCAAAAATGTGGGAAGGTATCTTTTTCTTTCTGTAGGTTGCCTAGCAATCCAAGTAAGAGATCACTGAGTAAGGATTCCCCCCACCCAATACTGGAAGATTAGCATCTTTTTATGCATGGCTAAATCTTACAATCAGGAAAAATCCTGATCTATCACTCTTTTGATCTGTTTTTCATCTTTCTGCATGCGGGGAGAGTCCATTTGTCCAATTTTTGGCCCTCTCAAGAACTGGAGGAAAGCTCTTGAAGACAGCTACAAAGAGAAACCTTTAGACTTCACATTGTTATTCTATGGCTGGAAATTTTTCTCATTGGGTTTTGCATTTTTGCTTAGGCTTTAAGGGTTAGGTTTTATTGTGACTCACTTTGTTCAAAACAGATCTGGTGCTTCCTGTACTTGGCTTCAAAGCAAGAAATGTGAACAATTGCAAAGGATGTTTTTCATAGGGTAAAGGAATATTCCACCCTACTGATAATGTACTATGAAAGTATGATTATATGGTTCTACTTTGGTCAATATATTCATCAGCTTCCTCAGAGAAACAATAAGCCAGTTACTTTATTTCCAGCAGTGTTAAAAACAGTTGCTGAGTTGAAAACTGGTCCTTAAAATATTCTGGTTTTTTTTTAAATCAAAGCAACTTCTAATCTTAAAATCACATTTAAGGTGATTTCTATATGTACACACATCAATGCACACTTTTTCCCAAGAAAGTATGTCCTGTCTGTCACAAAAAGAAATTTTTAAAAAAGACTCTGTGAATATTTACCAACTAGAGTGCAAATTGTTTAAAGGATTGCAGCTGGTAAGCAAAATAGTTTTTTTGTTTTTTAATTGGGAGTAAGCCCAACTGAACTGGATAGATATGATTTCAGACTAAACATAAGTAAGTTCAGAATGTGAAACTTTTGAAGCAGAGGAGGATGGGAGAAACTGTCAAACCTACAGTGTTATTTTGCTTTTGGGATTTGGATCTAACCTCCTTCAGCTATTCCAGGGTAGCATTTGTTTATACTGTATTTAGTAATACAGTCTCACATTTCTTGGCAGTAGAATGAATTATGATTTCTATTTGTGTAATGACACCAGTTGGCATATCATTTCTAAAGGTTTGTTAATGCTCAGTCAAATGTTATAAGATGCAATGAACCCAGCACGTTATATCAAAGCTTGTGCCTTGAAATCTCCTCCTTTCTCTTTTTTTGTATATTGTTTGATTGCTTGTACTATCTGAAGAAATGAAAACTTTTCATTTCTCTTAAAAGCCAGTAATAAAATTGAGAAATGTGACATGAATATAAAATAATTTAGCTAGATATTATTTGGCTGCAGTATGTTGTGTCTTTGTTCACAGATACTTTAAGAACACAAAGTTTTCCTACCAAAATAGTTTAAATGATACACTTTAGAACAGGGGTGCCAAACTCGACTTCATTGAGGCCACATCAGGATTGTGTTTGACCTCGGCGGGCCAGTGGGCATAATAAGTTGTGGGCATGGTCAGGGTAGGCGTGGCTCTCTGCCAGTGAAAACAGAGCCCAGGAGTGCCAGCAGAGGCACTGCAGGCCAGTCCTTCACTTTTTCCAGGATAGCCCAATTGGCCAGATGCGGCCCACAGTCCTTGAGTTTGACACCTCTGCTTTAGAGGTTCCCATTCAATTATTACATTCTGCCACTGAATCTATATTAAGAAAGTCTGAATTGGAAGAAGATGAGGATTACTTTAAAATATACTAGTTATCGAAACATCAAAATTATACTGAATTTTAATTCCACTTTTTCTCTGTGCTCCTTATTTTCATCATTAAATCTTCCAGCTGATTGAATTTTCAAAAATGAAGAGTGGAATTCAGCACAATACTAGTAGTTACTGGTGTTTCAATAACTAGTATTGCACTGAATTCCACTCTTCATTTTTGAAAATCTAGTCAGCTGGAAGATTTAATGATAAAAACAAAGAACACAGAGAAAAAGTGGAATTAAACTTCAATATAAAGAACACCAAACTAGTGCCTGTATGTTTAGCAACTAGTCTTAGAAATGGCAGTGAAGATACTGATGTGGTATCTTTTAGGATCAACAATCAACAGTAAAGGAACAAGACGCTCTGACATGTCTTTGATCTGAAAGATCAGAATTGTGCAGGCACTGGTTTTCCCTGTGATACTCTAAGAGGGTCAAAGTTGGACTTCGAAGAAGCAGGATAGAAAGAATATGGACACTTTTCAGTACTAGAGAGGACTCCTGGGAATACCATGGATAGCTAAGAAACAAACAATTGGATTATAGAATAAGTAAATCCAGAGTTCCCATTTGAAGCACAAATGATCAGGTTCAAATTACCATATTTTGAGATGTTATGTGACGACCTACCTGTCTTGAGAAAGTTGGAAGGAAAGAGAAGAGGATGACGAGTAATTCGATTACAAAAGTGATGGGTGCACCATTGGAAGAGATAAAGGGCCAGATTGGGAACAGGACCTTATGAATAAGATCTGTTTATATTAATTTCTTATTGTTAATATGAAACATAAAAGTGCCCAATATAGCAGTTAATATTTTAAATATCATTAGGCTGCCAAGGGAAAATCCCTATCTGCTTCCTTTAGTGTACTGTTGTGCAGTATTATAATACAGTTTCCCCAGCATGGTATTTTCCAAATAAGTTGGTCTCTTAATTCTCATCCCAGTGTCTTGAGAATTCAGATACTTGTAATTCAAACATATCTAGAAGGCAAGCTGCAGAGATGGATGCATCATTATAAAATCTTAGTTATACTATTTTAATTTTTCTTTTTTTTTAAAAACCTCAATATAGATTGCTGTAAGATGTATACATCAAATGCCTGAAATAACTTCAGTTTGAATATAGGTACTGCAGATATAAGATTTTTGAAAATAGTAATTTTCCTGATTTGTGTGAAAATGGTTTATGTTTTCTTGGTGCATCAGGATTGGACAAAATGCTTGTCATCTTTATTTAGTAGCTCGTCCTCAAATTTCTTATCCTCTACAGGTCTCTGCACCTGCTTTATGAAACATTCCCCACATGATGAAAAATAACAAAGAATCATTGCAATACACAAGCAGACTAATTTGAAAAGTTACCCCCTTTGTACCGCTGAGTCCTCTGGCCCTGCAGTTTTAGTTTTGGCTGCTAAATATAACCAGGATTTTTTTTTTCAAAAAAAAGAAACAATCTTGGCCCTTAATCTGTTAGAATTTTTGTGAACTTCCTGTTAGCCCTCGGTATGATACTGAAGCCTGAAAACATGGAAGGGTAGAAGAAGGGTATCACTGTTCAAACAATTTCCTAGGTCCCCTAATCCGTTCCTACTAATGCTGTTGCTGTTTTTGCTATTGCTGCTGTCGCTGCAAACTGTTTTTAAGAAAAAGTGTTTGCATCTGCTGCTAAGCAATTCCCAAGTAGATGAAGAGGGTTTGGGTGAAAATGAGTGCTGAGTTTCTGGCAGGTTCTTCTCAGACTTATCTGGTTGACAGCAGCTTGGCTTCTCTGAAGAGATTTGGGACATCTGCAGCAGCCCTCTCCAGAATGACACTTCCAACACTACACAACTGTCTGGAGTTTCTGGGTTATCTTCCTTTTTAGAAGATTAGAAAAGAACCTTTTGTTTTCTGGCTGCTGGGAGAACAAGAGAATTGGCTTAGTTGTCTAAATGAAAATATGAAATGTGCTTCACACTTATATTGATCATTTTAATTTTTTTCTTTTAAAAAAATAAACTGAAAACATCTGGGGAGGGAGAAACAAAAACTCTACATCTCTTATGTGCATCCTGGTTAGACCCATTGTAGATAATTAATATGCCCACTACAGCTTTCCCATTTTCCTACATATTTCAAGGAAGAACTCATAACTGCTAAATCCTTTCTCATTTAGCAGGATGTGTGACCTCCTCTTAACTTTCTTGGTTTCCATTTCCTCACTCAAATGTGAGCAACCAGTAAGATTTCTGGTTCATATGTACTACTAAGCAAACCATAGAACAAGCTTCTACTTATTGATAGGAAGAGCCAAACAGAAGAAAACAGGCAGTTTAGGCTAATGCACTTACTCTTTCCCAATAAAGTAGGAAATTACATATTTCTGGCTTAGCATTGTTTACAAATGCCAACACTGTTTTTCTGATAACATTTTGTACAATAAATTCATACATCACTTAGCACCCTAGATAAGGAATGCAGAAAAAATATAGAGGTTACACTAATGTTTCTCTTGAGGAACAGGGATTGTATGTAACCACTGAAAGTGCTTTGATTTGGTTGGAATACACATTTTGTATAAAAAGATATAAAAAATGTACATAAGTAAACACTTGGAAGCTGCCCCCACAAACAGTTTGATTGTTGTCTATCAACATGAAGTGCATTTATCTTTTATATCTGTTGTAGCGTAGTTCCACTGCTTCTTTCTGTCATCCTTCCCATGCTTTAATTTGACTTTTTGCTGTGGCCTTGAAGCTGGGCACCTGTTTCTTGTTGACATAATTGACATGTTTTGTCCTAAGAAACTCCCCAAGTTTAGCAACAGCTGGCAGCTGTGCCCTGCTTCTCCCTCCCACTCTTTGCCACAGAACCCCAGAACTAAAAGAGGAAGCATACACTCATTTACCCTAAATGTTCATCCTGCACAAGCCACTGGCTGTACAGAGCATGGCAGATTACATATACCTTGAAATTTTCCTGATTGATTTAAGGCGGGGAGCGTCTTCCTAGTATGAACATGCTCAAGCATTAAGACCCGCAAGGATGGCAGCTTCTGGGAGAGGCTTGTTATATGGGAGAGGGTAAAGGATCTTCTCTGTTGTGGGACCCCAACTTTGGAACGGTCTTCCGTTGCAGGAAAGGCTAGTTCCAGCATTGTTTACCTTTTGCTATCTGGTAAAAATCTTACTTTTATTGTCACATTTGGAATTGGTGTTCACTAATAGTATCAGAATGTTCAGTTTTGCTATTTAGTCTTATTGTGTTGC